TGGCACAAGCGACTAGCATTTCCTGCTACTTATCTTCCCCACAGACTCTTGTCATCAAACTGGTCATGGCCTTGGTGATGCTCTCTGCATCTACCCTTTTCACCACTTGTATCCCAGCAAAGCTCATCTCTACCTTCTTTCTCTTACGTGGACAGACATCCAAGATTTCCTCTTCTGTCATGTCTGCGTCGGCTGACCCATCTGACATGATGCTGTTGAAACTGGCTTCTTCTATCTCTGAAGGAGTTGCTCTAAGCTAATCTGTGACTACTACCTGTGTTTATTTCTTTCTTTTCATCAAATCTTTAGTGTTTAATTTGTCATTTTCACCTGAACCCCCATAATCTAACTGGGGTAATGGTGGCTCAGGAGATCACCCTGTAACCAGTGGGATGCTGGTTCGAACCCAGATTATGTCCGTGTCAAATGTGTCATTGGGCAAGACACAGATCTTAGAAACCTGCCTGTAATCAGCAGCCTCACCTCTGTCAATGCACCCCAGGGCAGCTGTAGCTACTGTGTAGCTCACCACCACCAGGAAGGGTGTGGTTCACTCAAAAACATTTATTTATTAGTGTTTCTGATTATAATCGTTCACTCTGGAGTTTTTCATGCAGGCTGAACATGAAAATAGTCTCCTACACCTATCTCCGGCATTAGCTTCTGATAGAAAATAGACTGTGAAACTCAAGGATTAGAAAATCCTGACAGATCTACGTCACGCTGCCACTTAACGTTCATGACTCACCCATCACGACTCACGGCGGGGTAGGGTGTTGTTGGTTTGAGGTCCAGGAAACAGCAGTTCATGTCTCGGCTGATAGAAGCTAACCGTTAGCATTAGCAACTCCACCACACAGCACAACTCCTTCAAGCTTGAGTTTTTTGTGGAGAAAAACATCAGTGTTGCAAAGTAAATAGTTAGTGTATCTAAGGATGGGTACCGAATTCGGTACTTTTTAAGGTACCGACCGAATTCCATAGTACCGACCGAGTACCGATTCACTTCATTTCAAACGGTGCCTCGTTTCGGTACCCGTCCTTCATAACGAGAACTTGCCAAGTCAGCTGCGCATGCGCAAGAACGTTATGTCGATGCTCTCTGCGAGCGAGTTGTAAACAGAGCAGCACGGTAGAAAGAACGCACGCTAACACTTGGGTCCACTTCACTAAATGTGATGGGTAACTGGGTGATGATGAAACCAGCGACAAACAACGATCTAAGTGAGACATCCTCACCTTAATCTGCTCCAGTAGGTAAATAAAATGTTTAAGATAATGTTACCTTGATATGTTAGCCTCCGTTTCGCTAATGGTGCGTTCGCTTTCTCCTCGGAACTCCGAATTTCCGACTAGAAGAACATGAACGCGCTCTGAAGTTTGGCTTCACTTTACTAAATGTGACGGGTGATTGGGTGAAGATGAAACCAGCGACAATGATCTTAAGTGTGAGGCATCATCGTTTTAATCTGCTCCAGCAGCTAAATAAACTGTTTAAGATAACGTTAGCTTGATATGTTAGCTTCCATTGCCACCATTGTTATCAGCTAATGGTGCGTTCGCTTTCTCCTCAGAAATTCTAACTTCCCAGTAGGAAAAATCAAATGAAAAAAGACGGCAAAAGGAATGAAGATACACAGTAAATTTAGTTCACAGTAAAGATGTTTGCTTCAGTTTAATTATCAGCTTATAAAACTACAAGGACGATGTTAAAATACAAACAGTTGAATGTTATTTATCGTGATATTTATCAAATATTGTTATGTATTGAGAAAAATATAAATTTAATTATAAAAAATAATTAAAATAATAAACACTCAAAAGTATCAAAAATTGGTACCGTTAAGTACCGGTATCGATTCCTAGGTACCGGGAATTAGTATCGAATCGATTCATATGTCAAAGGTACCCATCCCTAAGTGTATCTGTTAGCCAGTCAGCGGTGAGATGAACAAGTATCAGGTAATAAGACTCCAAGTCCTGTCATCTGAAGCTCTCCTCTGATGTGGTGATCTCCTAGATTCTGAAACAAGCGCATCAGGGCTTTTTGTACCCAAAGTACGACTTACAAGGCATTCATTCCTATTAAGAGACCACTGCAAATGTATTGATTAAATGAGTGAATCAGTCACATCTCGGTGTAAATGGATGAATGACTGAATATTGTAAAGTGCTTTGGAGTCCTCTGACTCAGCAAGGTGCTGTACATGTGTGGTCATTCATCATAACTTTAATTGCAACAGCAAAATGAATGTACACTTGATCTTCACTGTCCGTAAAGGGTTGCTTTGCATCACTTACGTGTAAATCCGTTCATAATCGCTGGCTCTATTTTTACTGATGGTGTGTTCACTTCTAAACAGTATGCTGAACTGTTCATGCTGGGCTGTTTCAGGCTGCACAGCACCCTCATAGCAGCAGTTTTCTTTGCTTGAATGATGCATTTCATCTCCTTGTGGCATTTAGATGATTCGTGGTCCTTGATAGCCTCTAATTTTTCAAACATTTTTGTGTTTTGAGTATCAGTCTTGCTGCTGGTGTGCATCTGCTGCTGACAGAAACAAAACCTTTACTTGCTGATCTCATCAAAAACAATCCAGAAGCATAAATCTCCATCATCAGTTCCTTTTGATTTCTTACAACATTTTTTTTAAATTTTGGGTTCTTCAGTTGACTTCTCTTGACAAAAGCTTGCATTACTGAAGGTTCTTTTTACTGATGATGGGATTTAACTAAGGAAGGCTAGCAGCAGCTCGTGTGCTTTACTGGTGCAGACAGGTCAGTTGTACAGAGATTTTGTTTCTTCTGTTAAAATGATGACATTTGAACCCAAGACCTCCTAGCTGGGAAAGCAGTCGAGCTCTCTGCACCATCACAGAACCTCCTTCAGAACTTACAGCTTATTTCCTTCAGCTCCTGTGTTTCAGACACATTTTTGATTGTATGATTTTTATTTGTTGTTTGTTTGTGGCTGTGAAAGCTGCGTGTATCAGACCGATGAACAGACTGGAGTTCAGGAGAAACATGTTTGGACATCCTCGCAGTTTATGTAAATGAATTTCCATTGTTGTGTTTGTAAATTAAATATTTGAATCTTCCCGCATATTTTGACATGAAGCAGAGCTGCAGTTCCTTCTTTCCTGCCACTGAGATTACATAATCCCATGCACCCCCCCCCCCCTTATTTTTCTTCCACCTCTGCTTCTCCTGCGGTTCCTCCTCACATGGTTGCAGTTTAAAGTCGAGACGAGTCACTTTATGCTGGTTCCTTCAAGTCTGACCATTTGCGTTGGAGGTCAGCATTTTGGTAGGAGGTCGCTGCGTGCTGTACGACCGACGTGCAGAGTTTTGAAGAACGTGCTGCTTTTTGTCTCATGATCTAAGTGCAGCTGGAAGGTAGGAAGAGTTTTCACTCATAAAGAAGAGTTAAGGATGCTGCGGCTCCAAACAGCAAGCCTTTTGATCGTTATGACGAAGGTCAGGGACCTGACAAACTTCCAGGTCTGGTAGATTTCCTCTTTTACCTAACATGGAACTCCTGCTGCACGCTTTTTAAATCAGATCGGACTATCATGGTGAGTTAATAGCTCTTTCTTCTAACTGAATATCATCATCTGTGGTGATCGATGTGTTCTGTCATCTTGACCGGAGATGCACCTGGTGTTGTTGGTCTGCATGTTGTTGGGTTTTCTAGTGTCTTGTTGTCTGTGTAAACCAGGGGTGTCCAATCCTGGTCCTGGAGGGCCGGTTTCCAGCAGGTTTTGTGGTTTTTCTGCTCCAGCAGGCTTGATTCAGTGGTTGAAACACCTGTGCAGCAGCTCATCGGGCTCTGCAGAAGCCTATTAATTAGCTGCTGATTGAAATCAGGTGTGTTGAAACAATAGAGTTCAAACTAAAACATGCAGGATACCGGCCCTCCAGGACCAGGATTGGACACCCCTGGTATAAACGCTTGTAGCAGATGAAACTGACAGCCTCTGCAGCAGAGCTGCTGGGAAAGTAGACATCAGGAAACCATCGGGATGAGATGAGAGGTGGTGAGGATGGTGGATGAGGACAGAGGTGTGAACTCGACTTCTAGACTTGGACTCAAATCAAAAACACCAGTTAAGACTCTAGGCATGAATTGGACTTGTTGTTCTGGACTTGAACAGTCCTAGTTTTATGTAATCAGAGCTGAAAGTAACGGCGTGATGGCTGATCCAGTGTGGATGGATGGGCTGATGGAGGAGCATCATCACTGCACCAATCAAATCCATTCTGTTTACCTGTTAGATTAGTATTCCAGCATCCCCTTAAATCAGGAGAGGTGGCAAAGTGAAGTTACATGTGTGTATGAAGAGCCCCCCTTTACTGGTCTTCTTTCTTATTGACGCCTGGTTAGGAGAGGAGCTGCAGCAGCAGCACCAGTATAGAAAATGCTTGTGCCTTCAGGACAGACTGGTCCATCCGCTTCTACTCCTGCTTGTATTTTCCCTCAGGACAACAATGTGAGAAATTCCAGTTATTCCTCTGGCTCTGCTCCATGTTCCCTGCAGAGACACACCTTCACTGGAGCTTTTAATAACCTGCTGTGACATCAGTTGCATGGAGCGTCGGATGCTTCCAAACACACACAGAAAACAAACCCGAGCTCTCACAAATCTGCAAACAGACAAAAATAAAAACGTCACGAAAGTTTCGGTTTTATTTGGGTCTCAAACTGCGGAGGGTTCAGAGAAAAGGTTTGCCTTTTTATTTTTTATTCCTCCTTAAAACCCCATAAAAAACCTCTGCCTGAATCCCCTCTGGATCTTGATTGAGTCATGAGTAAATACAGGCTGGACTAGTCTGAGGAGGTTTGATCCGGAGCCTTCCTGCAGTCGGCTGTGACTAACACGCCATTCAGCCGTTAAACGGTCAGTCCACATGGAACCAGAGCGCTGGTCTGACATCTCTGCCTCACAGAAACTTTACATCCAGTCAGGATCTGGATCCGATAGCCTCATCCAAACGTGAGTACTGGTGAGGATCTGGGGCTTAGAAAGATCTTGTTGTTGTAGATGTGTTTTTTTTTAGGAGCAGAGCGTTGGTGCTTGTCGGGTTTGATGGAGGTATGAATGTTTGACGGGCCCGGAGAGCGAGCGCCGTGTCGGGGTTGGAGATCAGAGGTGTTCTGCTGCTGGTGGTCTGGTCTGATGTTACACCGAGCTGTCACGATAAACACAACTAAGTTATTAAAAGTACATAACAGAGAGGTCAGTTTAATCTGGAATAAGAATTAATCTGTTGTTTTTAACCACCATCGGTTGATCTAAAGAGCTAATCTCGTGTTCTTGGATGCTGTAACAGAAGAGTTGTAAGGATTATTTATGTCACCAGTCTGAACAAACTCAGATCGGTTTCATTTAGTCTTTCTGCAAATCTGTAAAAACAATCACCTTTAATCTAAGATTAGATTATTAAAGTGCATGTCAAGTGTGCCTCAGAGTCTTACCCCACCCACGTATCAATTTTGAAAACTGCAACATTAGTAGGCGTTGCCTGGAGGACCGAGAGGGCGGAGCCGCGGCAGTGACGAAGAGACGGCTAACTAGACGAAGCTAGCTCCCTTCACTCTGAGCAGTCATTAGAAGTGGAGGACGTTTCTCCCCCTCCTTACCCAGACACTCGAGAAGAAAGGGACCAAGTCTATTTGGAGGAGACAAGCGGACATGAGCCTTATTGTTTAGAGCTTGTGAGTTGCCTGAAATTACTGGAACCGACCCAACAGACCCATCTCTGAACGTAAGTAGCCGTTAGCCATAGCATTGGATTAGCTGCAGGGTTTGTCTCCATGGCCCTAAAAAGCTAGTATTCAGCATGTTTTAGAGATTTATCTGCATCAACACACCTGGTTTTAATCAGCAACAAACAGCTGAGCTGCTTAACAGCTTATCTAACCTGTTAAAGCAGGAAAATCCACTGAAACGTGCTGGATAGCAGCTCTCCAGGAGATCTGGGCTCAAGCTACAGTCTGCTGCATAAAGTTATGAAAATATCCCATGAGAAAATTATTCTGTAATGTGTTCAGCCCATTAAAACTGCCCTGATTTCATTATTTATTTACTGATGCTAGCTGCTCTTGGTTGCAGGTGATCCTCTGGTGTCTGCAGCTGATCTCCTGCTGATGTCGTCGGGATCAGGAGCTTCCAGAAGAATGTGCCTTTCAATGACTCTTTCCCCCTTATTTGTTATATTAATTAAATAAATCTCAATTTATATATTTCCTGTTTTTGTTCATGTCCATAAATACTTAAACATGCTTGAAATTAAAACGAGCTTTTAACAGTGAGGTGCTAGTTTAATTCATCACAATAGAGCTAGTTAAACATGCAACAATGTGATAATCAATGTAATTTATAAATATCCATTAAAATATCAAAACTTGAATCAAAATGAGATATTCGGCAGCACAAAAAACTTGTCAAACACAATATTTATTATAATAATTGTAGGCAGACAGGAGACAGAGCTGATGGAGGTTCTCAGTCATCGAAGGATGGCTGAAGGCTTTCCAGGAACAGATGTGGTGTTGTCTCTTCTCTCTCTATTCTGCCAGATGAGCTGGTAGGTTACAGGTGTGTGAGGACATCCTCATGCTGTCATAACCAGATGACAGGAGTTATCAGGTGATCAGCCAGGCTAATGATGAGATGCAGAAAGAAAACAAATCATGCAGAAAGAAAACAAATCCAGGACAGTGTACAGTAATAAAAATAATATGTGGTGTTGCTTACCTTATGTACTCTTATAGAGTTATTAACGTGTGCCTGCCTCATGGTGTAGAGTCCATATTTTGCTGAGTGTCCTGCAGTAATGCAGGTTATTAGTTAATTTACTTTTGATAGCAAAAACAAAATATTTAAAAGTTATTTACCAGGTGAATCAGCTCACACGTCACCACCTGGTGGTGACCATCAAGTGTCACAGGGCCAGAATCAGTAGCCTCCTTCATGATGTAATCACATACTTATTTAATTGTTAATATCTTAAAAATTCAGAAATGTTTTAATTTTTTTTTACCTTGAACAGTTCACTGAGCTTGCACTGTCACTGAGGTGGAAGCTGGAATCAACAGCAGACACCTCACACCGTGGTCTTTTCAGGGGGTGTGGATGCTCTTGGACCTTCTGGAAGATGAATTTCTGTCATGGTCCCTGTGTCACAAGACACTGAGGCTGTGAGCTCTATAAAAACAAAGAAGCAGCACATTTATAAATGTTTAAAAGAGCATAAAATCACTTGTAACAATCTGTAAAACAAATTAAAACTAGAAGGTAATAAAATGTTTACATAGAAGATTATTAAAAATAATTCACCTTTGCTACGGGTAAGGCTTCACGTCAGCCTGGACAAGTGCATTCTTGCAGATTACTAAATCAGTCTGACAGCCAGTGTCTTGGGTAGATTTAGCCTGAAAAAAAATAGAAGCACATTGATGTTTATAAAGTCAGATAAAATACAAAAAAAAAATGTCCCATATAGGCGCTTTATAACATTCCTAGTGTGTGATGTTATTATAAAGTAAAAGTCAGTCACATATGATGTGGAGACCCTGAAATGCGACCTCCTGAACAGAATTCCTCACGGAACCGGGTCACGCTGTGCTAGATTTCACGCTGTAATGCTGTCTGTCAACTAGTGCTGCGTCAGTTTAGAGTCACTGTTGCTGAATTACCGACTGACACAAAAACAACCCGAATTTTCTCTGAGCCTGACAGTCATGTGGACCGTTGTGTCGGCCAGGGCTTCGAGATATGTTCCGATTCGCCGCTGATTCCAACCTTACATCCCGTTCCACATTTTGTGAACTTGACAAATCAGCCCGAAGGCAGTGCAGACTGATATTAGCTAAATGGAGTGAACCACGTCTCTCAAACTTTGCATTTAGGTAGGAAATTGTCTTTAGAAGATGTTAAAACTTTTATTTAGCTTACTCACCTCAGACTGTAGCCCGTCATGGTGGGGGAGCAGAGTCGGTGGTCTGTATCTAAATCGCGGAAGAGCCACGGTGGGCACAACCTCCCTCTTGGAACGGAGACGTGCAGAATCGCGGGTAAAATGCTGGTTGCAAACTACAGCACCAGGCGGGAGCTGAATCTTTTCCAGACACGCAACCACTGGCGCCTAATTTCTAAGTCCAGCGGAAAGGAGTGCAACCCGACAGAGCTCCGCAACCATACTACACTACACCATCTCACCATGCTAACACGATATGGAGCACTAAACCCGAACTACTTTCCTAATTACACTAACAGCCAAACAGTAACTAAACTACAATATCCAACAGCCAAGCTAACACTAAATAAGTATGTATAACACTAAAAGCTATGCTAAAGACTAGGATATGCTAATGCTATATGCTAATGCTGAACTACGGCTAGCCTCCTACACTCTCATGCAAATCCAACTCCCAACTCGCCACAAGGCGTGGCCGAGACTCCCGATGCTTTTATAACGTTGACACAGAGCTGCTACGTAGTACTCTACTGGATTACGTAGTATCTTACTCTTTAGCCATTGGCTAAAATTTATTCAAAATGAGTCAAATTCTATGTTTTAAGCTGAAGGTGGAGCTATACTGTGGTATTTAGGCAGAATTTTTAATTTTTTAAGAAAATGCACCAAAATGCTAAAATAATGAATACACACATTTAAAACACTATTAGACACTCATTTATACAGTTCATCAGCAAAAAAAAGTTAATTTAGACGTTACTTGCTCTTTAATGTCTCACACGCAGCTTTAAACCACTAACGCCACATGTTACATATCATGCTATCCTTTTGTTCTGGCGTCCCCAGCATTCTTAAAAGCTAGTTTAGTTTGAATAACTGATTCTTTATTGAAAGCTTTTATGGAAACAATTTCTCTGTATTGACCCATCCCCGAGGAGCAGTGGGTTGCTGTTTGTAGAGAACCTTAGGGGTTCAATACTCCGACACGTGGCCTGCCCAGGCTGTAACAAGAAGGAAAAGATGGTGAGGAACTGGAGGATGATTCAAATGTTGCAGCAGTGGGTGGGGACAACGATCAAATCCAAAATGTTGCCAAACCGTTGTTGAAGGATCTACTCGACCAACTCTACCACCGCTCCCACTCATTGTTGCTGTATGGGTAGTTATTGATAATTTGTTGTTCTTGAGGTGAACTGCTCAATATATCGTGATTTTGATTTGAGGCCATATGGTTCAGCCCTACCAAGGACCCAAAAACAACAACAGACTGAGTAGGGCTCGAACCTGCAACCCTCCGGTCACAGGTGGTGGTGGTGGGGAGGGGGGGGGGGGGGGGGGGGCACTAAGCTCCTTGACCACAATTGCCTGCAATTCGATCGAATTTTCTAGATGTCTACAAATGTTCAGTCATTTACACACACACGCACACACGCACGCACACACACACGCACACACGCACGCACACACACACACACACACACTCACACACACACACACACACACACACACACACACACACACACACACACACACACACACACACACACACACACACATTTATATGGCTTCTGGTAGTTATAGATATAATTTGTGATGTCAAAACTAAAACTGCCTGAACAAGGTTGTTACAGTATAGAAACACACTAATCCGGATTAGTGTTTAATTTAAACATAAATAATCCCATAATTCATTGATGGTTTGTTTCCTTTAGTTTAGATGAATCATTTCTGCTCCTCGACATGTTGTCTGAAGCTTTTAGCAAAACTAAGTTGGGACAAAAGATGAAAAGCATCTGTTTTCTAAAGTATTATTACTGCAAATATTACTGTTGCTATATACACTAATATTTTTTGGTTTTATTACCTTTAAAGTTTATGTTTTTGTTAGAGTTTGTAGATTTTTATTGTTTGTAGTTTATAGAAAAAGTTACATCAATAAATAATTATCAGGTGTTTTATTTTGTGTCTATATTTCTATAGTAAATGTTAAAGAGGCCACATGCTTGACTTCTCAGCCTTTTATTCTAGGTTGACTGAATTCTTGTGTTTGTTTCCAGCGAGGAAGAAGCCGGTGCTCAAGCTTTCCAGGGAGGTGTTTGAGCAGCCTGCCCCTGCTGCTGTGTAAGACCTTTTATTGATCCTCACTTCCTGCTTCACACACACACACACACACACAGACGCACACACGCACACACACACACACACACACACACACACACACACACACACACACACACACACACACACACACACACACACACACACACACACACACACACACACACCTGATTTTTTTAAACAGCTGAACAGGTGAAATAAAACCCAGCAGACACTTCCTGTAAAAGTGATCGGTCAGCTTCTAAATTGTGAGATTTACTGTTTCAACATTAAGTCACTGAGAACAGACTCGTTTGTTTTGAAACAGGGACTGCAGTACCCACATATGACCACAGGATGTCATTTAAGCTTAAAAAGGTCAAATTTATTAATTTCACCTATTTGATTCATATTATAGTTATTTATTTTCATTCATTACCAGCAGCTGCAGACAGTTGGTGATATTAAATATCCCTGCATCTATCCATTGTCTGTACCCACTTAGACTCAGGGTAATCCGCGGGTCCTTAAAAAGTCTTAAAAAGTCTTAAATTTGCTTTTCCAAATTTAAGACCTTAAAAATCCTTAAAAATGACAGATAATCCTTAAATACAGTTTCCAAAGGTCTTAAATTACCAAAGACCCAATAAACTAGATTCTTTTATTTCTATTAAAATTTTGCGAATTCCTAGTAAAGCATTTTTTGTGTATGACGTTGGCGTAAGCGGAACCGTACACATTCAGCTGGTTGTGAAAGGGGGCTATTTTTAGATGAGCACATTAGCTGGTTAAGCTAGTGGGAGCTTGCGCCATGGGGAAGCGCAAGTTTAATGGTAACTGGATGGCTAATCCCACCTTTGCGACGTGGTTAGCATCGGTTCCAGGCAATAGCTGGAAATTATAGCTTAAATTTAATTTTAAAAAATTGCTTAAATTTTGTCAAAGTGGTCTTAAAAAAGGTCTTAAAAAGTCTTAAATTTGGTTCCCTTAAACCTGCAGATACCCTGTAGACTGTACAGTGTGTGTGTGTGCGGGGGGGGGGGGGGGGGGGGGGGGGGGTGCGCTAGTGCCTATTTCCAGCAATCTCTGGGTAAACGGGCGGGGTCCATCCTGAACAGGTTGCCAGTCCATCACAGGACAACACAGAGACACACAAGACAAATAGCCAAGCACACACACACACTCACATCTAAGGACAATTTAGAGAACCCAATTCACCTGACAGTCATGTTTTTGGACTGGGGGAGGAAGCCGGAGAACCTGGAGAGAACCCACGCATGCACCACTGCGTCGCTGTGCAGCCCTGATGTTAGATACAGTATATTTCCAAAATGTGCAACAATAACCTCTCTTAAACCCGCTACATTAAAAACAAATGCTAAATTCTTTATTCTTATTTCTTTTGATGATCTTTTATTAATTATGTATTATATTTTGTGTAATATTTATCATATTTAATAATTGGTGATAAAGGTTTGGTCTATCCTCTCGTGCTGAGTCTAATGTTATGAGTGCAAAAGACTGATTGAGAGTTTTTGTTTCTATATTTTATTCCAGGTTTTGTTTCTGGCTCTGCTTTATCCTGGATGTTCCCGAGATGTCTGATGAAATCCAGTCGAACCAGTTTTCTTTAACAAGGTGTGTTTTTGTGTTTCAGACCCCCAAGAGATTTGGATTCAAAGGCTTGTGTAACAATCGGAGAAAAGGTGAGTCTGGGTGTGTGTTTGTCCTGTTATTCTGTGTGTGTGTGTGTGTGTGTGTGTGTGTGTGTGTGTGTGTGTGTGTGTGTGTGTGTGTGTGTGTGTGTGTGTGTGTGTGTGTGTGAAGATCACAGCTGATTGTGGGAAGACTGGAATGCTTTTTAACTTCCCTCAAGCAGTAAAAATATTTGTTTTAAACTCGTCTAATTGGAGAAATTTTCCACTAGCGGAGATCCAAAAGGTTTCTGTAATTGGAAGTTTTTTTTTTTTTAATTCTGTTTAAATGTCTGAAGCATCACTACAGGAAGCGGTTTGTTTACTTATTTATGAATTCTCTGACATTGTTGTCATGTTGTTGGAGCAGAAATGTGAGGTGAAGGCTGACGACCTGGAGCAGATCTGTGAACTGGGGCGAGGGGCGTACGGAGTCGTGGACAAGATGAGACACGTTCCCTCTGAACTCATCATGGCCGTGAAGGTGATGGAATGATCCAGAGCCTGACTTGGTTATTGTCACTTTTAAAGAGCAAGTCACCCCCTACCAGATTCTTACTCAACTCCCACTTCCTGTTGGAAAAATGCAACAAATGCTGTTGCCTAGCAGACCGAGAGGGTGGAGCCGCTAACAAATACACACACTCACGACATTGTGACATCGTAATGTACCATCTAACATCATAGTGTACCTCTTAGCCAATAGCGACGGCAGATTTAAATTCAAATGCAGTGCAGAGTTTTTACCTGACGACGGTGCAACACTGACAGTTTTAGGCAGAATATTTAAATTTTAACTAAGATGCACTAAAGTGCCGAATTATTGACTACACGTGTCTGCGGTACTATCAGACGCTCATTTATATAGCTTATCAGCAAAAAAAATGTTGATTTGGAGTGACTTGCTCTTTAAGTAGCTTTTAGACTTGGTTTGAATGTTTCTCTGCTGGTTTTTAAAGCTGTTGATGGTCTTTGTCATGCCTGTTCATCAGATTGCTGCTACAGACCATGTAGTCAGATTTGAAGTAGTATTTTTTCTTGATCCAGACTGAATCTAGAGTACATCTCCACCAGTTCTGATCCCAGACTTTGTTTTGTTCTGGTTGCTTCTGCTTGTCTGTCCTGTATCCAGAGGATCCGGGCCACCGTCAACACTCAGGAGCAAAAGAGGCTGCTGATGGACCTGGACATCTCCATGAGGACGGTGGACTGTTTTTACACCGTCACCTTCTACGGAGCTTTATTCAGAGAGGTGACATAAAACGCTCATCTGTAAAGCTTGGTTTATGCTTGACGCATTCACTTTCCGCTCGGTGATGCGGCTCGCGGATGGAACGCGCTTCACAACTCGCATCGTTTATGGTTCATGCGGCTTGTCTCTGCGGTGAGCCAATATTCTCCCAAACTGTAGGGGGCAGCATGGAGTTCTACGGCATGCATCCAACACTACACCATAGTAGAAGTAGAAATTACTGTTTACAACATGGCTTTTCAACATTTTTAACAGTGTCCTCATCTTTTCCGACAGTGCGAGCTATTTCTCTCCAAGAATTATTAACAACATGTTGATCACGGTGATCTCTAAGAGCTGAATCATACAAATGTCAGTATTTACGAACCTCTGCCATACTAGTTCTTGCCGGTCCGCCATGTTTTTCCGCGTCCGACCGTCCGCGTGGTTAGAAATTTTCCGAGGTGTGCGTTGCGGAAATTTTGGGCCGTGCGGAGACGCGGTCGAGGGGCGTGGTTGTTAAAATGACGCAATTTCGCCGCGCGGAGCCGTGCGGACCTCGCGGACGCGTCAAGCATAAACCAACCTTAAATCATCACTAGAACATTCGTCTGCTGAGTTTTTAAAGAAAGGAACAAAAAAGTATAAATCTTTTAAAGGAACCCTTTAGTTTTAGCAGCAGGCTTTATTTTGCAGAAACAACAACTCATAAACTGTCACAGGTTAAAAGGTGAAATAAATAAATAAAGATCAGAGCAAACAGGAAACACTTTTCTAAGTAAAAGTCATAAATAAACTTGAAATCCTGCTTCTTCAGATCAACCTGTAATTTTTATTTAGAGATTTTGTTTTAATTTGAACATATTTATTTGTAACTGTTTAGTTTAAAAAAAAACAACTAAAAACGCCTTTATTTTTAACAGCTGCCAGCTGTTCCTTTGGTTTGAGAAAAAGGTAAATAAATGCAAGTAATAAAAGCCCAGACGTCGCCAAGAAAACAAAGACAGAAACTAAATATAAAATAACGCAAATATTACTCATTTAAATTAATGACAAGCCAACATCAAGAATTTAAGCTTGAAGGGAATTTAATAATACTAATATTCTATTATTGATTATTTTTACATTCATATCTTTATAAAGCTTTTAAAGTCAAATGTTTGTTCCAGACTGGTTTAAATCCCCAAGGAGGGTTTAAATTCTGTAAAACTCATCACTGATGTAAAAAATTAGTGTCATTCATCACTCACAATTCTCTCTACAGCTCAGTTATTTGGTTCTGATCCATGTTTTAGACTCAGTCGTGTGCAGAATAAAGAGGTTTGATTGTAAAAGAAATGGTTTAATAAACTGGTGACAGGTTAATATTATGTCCTTTTTAATATTATATATATATATATATATATATATATATATATATATATATATATATATATATATATATATATATTATATTATATATATAATATTATATTATATATATAATATTATATATTATTATGTGTTTGTAAGATTTGACCTGGTAGTGAAATAAAACCAGATTTCAGGTCACGTGGGCAAACCTTCACACTGGGTTTATTTGGTTTTCTAAAAATGATAAATTTTCCTTGCAGTTTTCTAAACCTGCACGTAAAAGTGAAGCGTAAGAATTAAAAACAACAAGCATGTAACACCCCCTGTTACCAGGGCGACGTTTGGATCTGTATGGAGCTGATGGACACCTCCCTTGATAAGTTCTACAAGCAGGTGATTGAGAAGGGCATGACCATCCCTGAGGACATCCTGGGGAAGATCGCTGTCTCGGTGAGTCTCAGCTGAGCAGAGCTACCCATCTGGGTTACGTTAGTCTTGTTTGCTCATTAATGGCGTTTGTTGTTACAGATAGTAAAAGCTCTGGAGCATCTGCACAGCAATCTGCAAGTCATCCACAGAGGTAAGAGGCTGAGAGGAGGCCCATTAGCTCTCCGGGTCTACTTCCTCCCTTTAAGCCTCCTCACACTTGGTGCCGTTTTAAGTTCTCATTCTCTGCTTCTGTGCACTGCTCAGTCCTGCAGGTTGGAAAATATCCAGTTCAATTCAACATCGAGTTTATTTCGTCTGTAATAAAAAGCCACAGAGGGCATGTAGACTGTACGGCCATTTGATGATCTGTAGGGTTCCTTTACAGAACAATGCTCAACCGGGTCAGTTTAAAACACAAAACACTAACGCCGTCTGTTTTAGGAGAAGCATCAAGACGAAGATTTTCTCTAGAGTTGATCTCCATTTCCTCCTGGTTAGGATCGGAACCAGAGCCCTTCAGTAAAAAATAAAAATGACTTGTTTCTTTGGTCTCGTTGGACTTGAGCAGCAACAAATGGGCCATTCCCATCTGTACCGGGTCGGCCCGGGCCGGGTAGCGTAGGTTGTTTACATATCTGGGTGGCCTGGTATTTTTCCGGGCCAACCAAGGCTCATCCTCAGCCCTCTTCTCGAGGGTGTCTGCTTCAGGCCGACCAGGGCCAACACACCCACTGCTGACAGCAAATTCACACCTTCCATTAGAGCAAGCCTCTGATTGGTGGGTAGGATCAGCCCACATGGGCTTAAGACAAGGATGTGTGGAATAAACCGGGCCAGGCTGGGGCCGACTGGGGCTACCCGGCCCGGGCCGACCCGGTACAGATGGGAATGGCCCATAACTGTCCTTTTTTATGCTATTGAAGCTGTAGGAGGGAAAATGAAGGTCAATATTCTTCTTCCCAAGATCAGACAAATGTTTTCTTTCCAAACTAAATCACCTGTCTCCTGACATTCCTCCAGACGTGAAGCCCTCCAACGTTCTGATCAACACCCAGGGTCAAGTCAAGATGTGCGACTTCGGCATCAGCGGCTACCTGGTGGACTCGGTGGCTAAGACCATGGATGCTGGCTGCAAACCCTACATGGCGGTAAGCAGAACAACAACGCGTGAATTAGACCCACCTCGAATAAAAAAGTCTTCTCCACTGATGTTTTTTCTAAAGGTGGTTTACAAACAAATTCAGAACACTAAAGAGCTCCAGAACTGAGCTGCAGTTTAGAATTCCTCTCATTCACTAAAACACAAAAACAGACGAGAGAATCAAAACAAACAGGAATTTAAGTGTTTTATAATTTAATTAAATTGGCCTGTTGAGCTCGTCTATCCAGTGTAATTAGAGTACTCTAGTTAAATTAGTTTACCATAATTTCCGGACTATAGAGCACACCTCAATATAAGCCGCACCAACAAAAAAAAAAGGTTTTCTACACACACGCCGCACTCAAATACAAGCCGCGGCGCAGCAGCCACATGCGGGTCTCCGGCGCACAGCGCATGTACGGCCATATCATAAGATAATTAGACAGAAAGACGCGACACGGAGGTTTTTCGTTGTTGTTTAAATTCAACAAAACGAATTGTAAACACGGGTGAACGTGCCTGCAAGTTTAGAAAAGAAAACAGCACTGATAGCATTCATATTTCTGGATGGTTATAAAATAAAAACAGCACTGATAGCATTCATATTTCTGGATGGTTATAAAATAAAAACAGCACTGACACCTTATTACCGGTCATTTGCATGTTTAGAAGAAAAGAACAGCGCTGACACAGCATTAATAAGCCCTGGATGATTAGAAAATAAAAACTGCACACAAAACATGCCTGGTTAGTAAATAAAACACACTTGTCTACCAGAAGAAGTCATTCGCTCTCATCTTCCTCTTGTGCACTAAAGCCGTTAAAGTCCTCTTCTTCAGTGTCGGAGTTGAACAGCCTCAGAAGAGCTTCGTCACATACCTTTTCTGTGGCGATGTGAGTGTCGCTGTCCGTGTTGCTGTCATCATCCCCGGGTGAAGATGGCTTGAATGAGCTCTTCCCGCTGCCGTCTCCAGCGCCGAACCATGGATTCATTCATGCCAAGCTTACGTGCGGCAGCACTATTTACCTCCTTTACTGCCCGAGCGATGGCCTTCAACTTAAATGCGGCATCATGAACTCATACGTGTAGTTACCATGATGAGGGGGTATGGATTAGAAAAAAATTCTTCGTCGTGCCGGCTGCTTGCATGTGCTAAATTAAAATGGGCACTTTCTTCCATTTCCACTTTTGACTTCCACCTGTTTCACTTTCTGCTATAGCGCCCCCTGGCAGGTGAAGGAAAATCTTCAGTAAAGCCACACCTCATATAAGCCACATGGTTCAAAGCGTGGGAAAAAAGTAGCGGCTTATAGTCCGGAAAATACGGTACTAGATCAGGACCTCTTCATGGATCTTTTAACATCACAGATTCTTTTCAGCTTCACAGAAAACCTTCCAGGCAGTTCCCTATCTTCCTGGATTTGTCCTGATCACATCCTGGGTCCCACTATGGCCCTGTCCAGTCCCAATACCCACACTACAGCCTAGCGTCCTCTATGAAGTGCACTTGGTGGGAGAGCATGGAAGGCTTTGAGTGCGTAGTAGACAAGAGTGCAAATAACTGCAGAATTGGGCCAATGAGCATTGTGTCATCGACCACTATCCTAAATGAAGATGCCGGTTGCTGTTGTGTTGCTGCTTAAAACAGCTCTTACATTACTGGTACGTCGTGTCCAAAACTCCACACCAGTACCGTTAACAGCTGACAATATTCTTCATATATGTAGGTAGGGCTGGGGAGTAAATCAATAATTTATCACTATTGAATTTTTTGACTCTTTTGTATGCTCATTCTGTGTTTAATGTCATAATCCATTACTTAGTTTTTTTTTTGCACAGTTTAGTAAAAAAAATAGTTTTTACCAGATGTGTTTCGACTAATGCCTCTAGTCATCATCGGAGTTCGCCAGTGTTGGTGGCGTCACGTGCATTTGTCCGCGGGCAGCAGAGCACCATGCTGAATTTATGGAACCCCAAAAGTACATAAACAGAATACTCCACTGAGACCAGTAGTTGACAGCATGGAAACACCGACATATAACATGGCAATGAAATAAGCAAAACCATCAGCCCACTATTAGGCAACGCAGATCAACACTGTAAAAACAGCACAGAACTAACAAAAGAACTGAAAAAGGTTACAATAGAAGACAACGACAAACTGATCTCACGAGTGCTTTGTTCACAAAACACCAACCCCAAAAACCAACAACATAGTCGTTAACAGAATCAGACAAGATACAACTTTACATAAAAGGACAAACCTCATAGCAGACGACCTAGCACGACAGCTAACTCCACTTACTTCACTTACAACGGAGTCATATGCAAACAACTAGAAGGCTTTGCCATGGGAAGCCCTCTATCAGCCACCCTTTACCAGTTCATCATAGAAGACCTGGAACAAAAAGCCATAGCCCCCCAGACTGCAAAATAAAACTATGGAAACGCTACGTGGGCAACATATTAGAAATCATTCCTAGCTGACACAAACAGAGACACTAGCAAAACACCTGAACAGCATTGACGTCACCAACAACATAAAGTTTACGTATGAAGAAGAAAAAGACAACCGCATAGCATTCATGGACATGAGAATAAGCAGGCAGACAGACGGAACACTAAAAGTAAACACATACAGGAAACCAACACACACGGCCCAATATTTATTATGGACATCAGAACACCCCACTATACATTACATGTCTGTTATCAGTACATTAGACCACAGAGCTAATTCAATAACAGAAGAACAAGACCGCGAACTGGAGGACCAACACATACAAAGGGCATTAAAAACCTGCAGATACACAACATGGGCAATAAGAAAAGGAAAAACGAACCGGAAACACAGAAAGACTAGAACCAAAACCAGTACTAACCCTTCCGTTTATCAAAGGCATAACAGAAAAAACAACACACCAACAAAACCATACATGACCGTCAGGAAAAAACTACTACACCCAAAATGACCCACACTTGTATAGCACCTCTCAGACTAAGGATTCCAAAGCGCTTTACACTACAGTGTATCATTCATCCATTCACACACACATTCACACACTGATGGTGATGAGCTATGATATAGCCACAGCTGCCCTGGGGCGCACTGACAGAGGCGAGGCTGCCGAACACTGGCACTGCCGGTCCCTCCGACCACCACCAGCAGGCAACATGGGTTAAGTGTCTTGCCCAAGTACACAACAGCAGCATTCTCTGTCCGGAGCCGGGATCGAACCTGCAACCTTACGATTACTGGACAACTTGCTCACCCTGTTGAGCTACTGCTGCCCATGTGGAGTCACATTCGAAATAACACGCAAACTCTGCAATAAAACATACACAGGGGAAACGGGACGCTAACTCAACACACGAAAACTAGAACATCAGAGGGAGTGCGAGAGGGAAACAAGTCGAAGACACACAAGAGCAGTGAAATAAGAAGCAGAAAGCACAATAAAGAAATCTGCCATAACAGACCACTGCACAAGGGAGAATCATATAATGGACTGGGACAGAAGGATCACAAGCGCAGAACAACAGAAATATAAAAGATTAAGGTAGCGATAGAAATAAGGAGACATGGGCACAAAACCATGAACAGAGACGATGGAGTATTCACATTGGATCACGCATGGGACTGTGTCATCAGCAAGGAGGCGCAGGCAGCAGAGGGCAATGTTGTGCTCCACTGCCCGCTGATAAACAGAAGTGACGCCACCAACACCGGCAAACTCTGATGATGTCTAGAGGCATTAGTATTTTATTGATATTGTTTTCTCCAAGTCAGTAAATTCAAGAATAAAAAATATGAAAATGTGTGTGTAGGTCGCGAGGGCAGTAGCCTAAGCAGGTTAGGCTCAGACTTCAGCCACTTGGGCCAGCTCCTCAGGGAGAATCCCAAGGCGTTCCCTGTCCAGCCGAGAGACATAGTCCCCCCAGTGTGTCCTGGGTCTCCCTTTAGGTCTTCTCCCGGTTGGACGTGCCTGGAAAACCTCATCATGGAGGCGTCCCGGAGGCATCCTAACTTGATGCTTGAGCCACCTCAACTGGCTCCTTTTGATGTGGAGGAGCAGCAGGCCTACTCTAAGCCCCTCTCAGATGATGGAGCTTCTCACCCTATCTAACCCCAGCTTTCCACAGGAGCCGTCAGCAGCGCGTTACTGCAGCAGCACGTCATAGCTGCTGATAGGAACCGCTGTGGTTAACAGAACCTTTTCCACTGGAGCCGTCAGCAGCTGTCAGCAGCGCGAGTCGGCCGCGTCTCAGGAGCAGCATGTCGCGGCCTTTACGCGCCGGTTCTATTTTCTACGCGCGACGCCTCTGAAACGGGTCAAGTTCGACATTTTTGGGGAAGGAAAGACAGGAAATCGGACGCGGAAATGGAGAGAAGCTCCCGAGATTTTCAGAATAAAGAACGTACTGCCTTCCGGTTGCTTTACTTTTAAAAAAGGTTACTAACTGTGCGGCCCCGTGAGAAGTTATCACCTAGCTAGCGGTCTCCTTTGTTTTTCAGGTCCGTATTGGCGATTATAAAACGGAAAGGACATAAAACACAAACCATGTTGTAATTTTCTCCTGCTTGTTGTTGTGTTTACTGACAAAGTCACTCGTGTGACTTCGTGCTCTGTCGGTGACAGCTGCTCCCCTGCTGCTTCGCGTCTCGTGGGAAGGGCCAAGCAGCAGTTTACGTGAGCAAGACGTGCTGCTGCAGTAACGTGTTGCTGACGGCTCCCGTGGAAACCCGGGGTGAGGGAGAGCCCAGCCAGTAAACGGAAGGTTGCAGGTTCGATCCCGGCTCCGACCAGAGAATGCTGCTGTTGTGTCCTTGGGCACGACACTCAACCCTCCTGTCCTGCTGGTGGTGGTCGGAGGGACCGGTGGTGCCAGTGTTCGGCAGGCCTCGCCTCTGTCAGTGTGCCCCAGAGCAGCTGTGGCTACATTATAGCTCATCACCGTCAGTGTGTGAATGGGTGGATGACTAAATGTATTGTAAGGCACTTTGGGGGGTTATAGAGTCCCTAAGAAGGTGCTATAAAAATACAAGTCATACAGACCATTCTTCTTCTAGGCTAATGCATCTTTCAAGAGGAGAGACATTTTATTGTAATCACGTACACAATAATAAAATATTTAATATTTTGAAACTTATATAAAATACATATTTTCAGAAAGGGCACTGGAGCCATTTCTCTGTTCTCTTCTCAAAATTCCCACGCAGCAATGGGTTGTGGGTAACACCCTTTGCCTAAGTCCTCACTGAAGCTGACTTCGGCGAAGTGTCCCAAGTCCACACTTGAGAATCACCCACAAACTTACACCACTGGATGGGACGTTGGACAGAGCCTATACTGCTTTTGGCGGCAGCCAGACCCAGAACTCTAACCCTCCCCCCAGTGGTGTGGAGGAAGTTTTGGGATTGTGAAGGTTAGGATGTGAGATGATTCACAAACAGATTAAAAAAAAATGCAAAAAAAAAAATCTGGCCTGGTGTATACAGGACATCGATCAGGTGTTCGACCCCTTGAGCATCACAGTGTTTTCTATTAAGCAGCGGAAGAATCATGTTAGAGCCCTGCACTGAAGCCCTAGGCCCTCGGGCCGGGCTTCGGGCCAACGACTGTGTAATTACCTCGGACATGGGCCGGGCCAGGCCCCTTAATTTTTAATCAAATTCATAATAAAGAATTAAAACACAAACGCAGCAGTAGAGCCCTGCGCGGGACTGTTTTCTTCATCCCGCTCCTGCCCGCTCCCGCTGAATTTCTGACCATTACCGCCTGCAACCACAACGTGTGTGTTACACTCCCGCCCGCACCTGCAGCGTGCATGTCTACTCCCACCCGCAACCGCAAAACTCGGAGAAATGATTACCTCACAATAAAAGAGACGTATCGAGTTTGCGTCCTCTCTGGTCCTGGAGAAAACATGTCACAACCCGCGGCTCTTCCATCCATCTGGTGCGGCTCTCTGTGCTTGTAAAATAATGAATGGATATTTAAATAAAATGCTTTATATTTTACTGAATTAATTTTACATCTGTATGCCAATTCTAAATGTAAAGATTGTCTGCGTAAATCTGAACAGGTCCAACCCAGTCTTACTGTGAGACCGGGTTGACGGGTCACGCTTGTGCGTAATCAAAGGCGCTTCCTGAGCTGAAGAGGATGTGAGATTCTGGGCTTCTCCTCAGACAGGCTAATGGATGTGTCGCCACATTGGAGACAGGAACAAGCACTATTCAGCCAAAGTTTCATAATCAGGGAACATTTTCTAAGTGACAAGTCTCTCTGAGAGACAGGGTTTGGAAAACACTCGCTTCAGTGGGAGGAATCTTCCTGCATGCGCTCTGGTTCTGCAACGCGCTCCAAGCCAATCTCCACAACTTCAGCTCGCTGTGCACATATGCGCTGACAGTGAGCTGCGCTGAGCAGTGTCCAGCTCAGATGTTCAGATGGGAATCTTTTCTTGGGTGATTTAGCTACATCTGCGATGTGTGTAACGAATAAAATGTCAGTTCGTCTGCATGCGTCGGTGTAATTCTTTCTATTCTTTCTCCGTCAAAATAAACTGT